CTAACTGTTCTAGAACTAGCTTTGTTGACCAGTCTGGTCTCGAACTCAGAGATCTGCCCGCCTCTGCCTTCTGAGTGCTGGGATTAAAAGTGTGCACCATCACCACTGCCACCCTGTTGTGCTGCTCTCTCTCTCTCTCTCTCTCTCTCTCTCTCTCTCTCTCTCTCTCTCTGTCTCATCTCATTATTTAGTCTTGAATGGTCTGATACTTGATAAGTAGACTAAACTGGCTTCCAGTTCACAGAGATCCACCTGCTTCTGTCTCCCAAGTGCTGGGATTAAAGGCCTGCACCACCACCGCCTGGCTTTTTCTCTTACTCCAGGGCTTATTTGTATCTTGTGCCTTTCCCCACTAATTGGATTTTCTGAGCCAGGACCCCATCCAGGGGTGACAAGGCATTGAGTGCACCTGTCCCTTGGACCCAGGGCTGGTCCTCATTTTTCTCTCAGGAGAAACTGGTTTAGCCTCGGTCTGTTGTAAGCAGGAGGCACTGTTCCTTGGGAATGTATGCTAAGAGCCTAACCTGAAAGGGCACTGGAAGGTGAGTGTGTGGCTGTGGGCCTTTGCTTCCTGTGTTGGGAACAGGTATTTGCCAGATGCGTGATATCCATGAGGCAACCAAGCCCTGGAAATGCTTCCCAAATAAAATACCCAGGATGGAATTAAACATGAACTTCTCCAGAGTACACAGCTTATGCACAGACACCCCATCCTATCATATTAGACGTACATGTAGGAAAGGGCTCCAGAATCCCTACAGATGAAATTTTGTTGGTTTCTGCCTAAATTTATTTTCTTAGACTCCAGTGTCTTTTCTGAGGTGTAACTCACAGAGATCACGTGCCTTTTAGAAGGAAATGGGATGAGCTGGTTTGTGTGCACACTAGAGAAGAATTTGTGACCAAACTAATAAGCACCGTCATCACCTTCCCTCCCTGCACACATGTGAGGACACTTCAGCTGGACCCTCTGGGAACTGAAGTCGACACACAGGACACGGGGCTATGTAATAGAATAGAAAGAATGTGCTCGCCTTTTATCTTTTGCACATTTTTGGTCTGTATTTCCTCTGTTTCTTAAAAAGTTAGAACTATGTCCACCATTAGTTCAGCAATGCCTATCCTGGGGATATAGCCAAACAAAAAGAAATTAGCCTGAGAGGACTCCACATTCCTGCGTGGGCTGCAGTGTGGTCACAGCAGTCAAGGAACGGAAACAGCCCTGTGTTCATCAACTGATCAATAAAAAAAATAAACCAGTGTGTACTGTTGTCATTTGATATCCTTAGGGAATTTGTTTCAGGAGCTGTTGCCCAAATCCACAAATGTTCAAGTCCTTGATTCAGAATGTCTTAGGGGTTGTAAAGAAATTCCATATATCCTTCTTTCCTCTCTTGTTCCCTCCCTCACTCCCCGCTTCCTTCCTCCTTCTTCCCTTGGCTTTTTGATACAGGGACTTACAACACAGCCTGGGCTAGCCTCACACCCAGTCCTGCTTCAGCTTTCTAATGCTGCTATATAGCTCTGTGCCACGATATCCAGCTTCTCTCCTGTATTTTAGTTTATCTCTAGCTGACTGGGAATGCCCAATAAAATGTAAAAGCTGTGTAAATAGCTGTCTGTTTTGCTTAGAAATTAATGACAAGAATAGTTCATATCTGTTCAAGACAGACAATACTTTTTTTCGTTTGCTTTTAAGACAGAGTCTCACTGTGTATCATTAGCTGTCCTGGAACTCACTATGTAGACCAGGCTAGCCTCAAATTCATAGAAATTCAACTGTCTTTGCCTCTTGTGGGCTGAGATTAAAGGTGCATACCACCACTGGCAGTTTTTTTTAAAAAATATTTTCAATCTGAATGTGTCTGCATCGGAGTATAACGAATCCAGATATTAAATGGGGGTTAAACGTACTTACAGAGTGGAGTGCCATTCTACTTAATACAAAATTCTGTTATTATCGAGTGCTTGGATGGAAGAGGATACGGAGGGACAGGTGCCAGATTTCTCACTCGAGTGTAGAGTAATAAAATAGATAAAAAATCCAGACAGGCAAAGTAAGTGCTAGGGTCTGGCAAAGGGGCATTGGGGAGAGCTGTTGGGGGAGGATGAGTTTGGGTTTTGCATGTGTTACTCAGACTCAGCATTAGTGTGAATGTCCTCGCTGGGGTAGAGAAGTGGCCAGGCTCCTGACTAGATAGACAGAAGCACAAATGCACACAGAGACAGAGAGGTGATCCACATCCTGAGGACACAGGGGCACAAGCCACTCCAGTTCCTCTTTCAAACAGACTGTCCAGAAGGGAAGTATCAAGGAGAGACCGGAGAAGGGCAGTGCTGTGAAGGGGAGGGGCTACAGAAAGAGGAGCACAGAGTGGGAGGACACAGTCAGAGAGGAGGAGGAGTCATAGAAGAGAGGGAGGAGGAGCTATAGAACAGGGATCGGAGGAAGGAGTCCAGGCCTTGTAGAAACCCTTCGTTGATTGATTCACTTTGGGGCTGTGACAGCTTAGTGACGGTCCTATTTGTCTCCAGCCTCTGTCTCATAGTATGTACGGCCGTTCTCCTTTAACACATCTCAGCTGTGAAAATGCCTGGACGTGCATTCCTGTGGGAACTGGTATCTCTCCGTGGGTCTGGAGTCAAAAGAATCTGTTTCTCTATTATACTCCGCGATGATGAGAGAGGCTCAGGAAACAGTTGGTTTGTCAAAGGATGCAAGCAAGGAATGGGACAGATCCTGGGCTGAGCACTGAGTCCTGTGGACTTGATGGGTGGGAAATGCACAGGTCTGCAGGGTCCACTGCAGCTTCAGGAAGTTTTGGTGCAAGCATCACTCAGACCCAGATGGGAGGCAGAAAACTCAGCCAGAATGGTACTTCATGGATGAGCCATTGAAGTAAGCATGAAGACCAACAGAACCTAGGACCACCCTGAATTTAGGATGAGCTGGGCCTGGTACCATGTACTTGAAATACCAGCACTCAGGAGACTGAGTGCTGAAGCAGGAGGACCATTAGTGAGTTTAAGGCCAATTCAGGCTATGAAAACAAAACCCTGAATGGTATCACTCAAGAAAAAGAAGATCCCACTTTCCCAGGAGGCCCTGGAAGTAGTCGGGGAGCTCAATAGTTTCCTGTGTCCTTCCATGCATGCCCTGGGATGGCGTGAGGCATGCATGCCTCCACATAAGCTGATGTCTCCATACCCACGCACACACGTGACCTAACAACTGCGCAGACATTTACACTCACCCACCACACACTCACACCCATAAGAGCCCATGTGCATGCATCAGCCATAGCTTCCAGGGTCTTGTTCCTGGACCTGGTGTCTTCCATTTCTCTTTCCTCATGGAGATTAAGTGCTTTGTCCTTTGAAATTCTAATGCTAAAGCCCCTCCCCTGTGGTATTCATGTTAGAGGTGGGGCTTTTGGGGGGTCTGGAGGCCATGAAAAGGGAAACTTGTGCGAAGAATGAATGTGCCCACACAGGAACCCCGAGAGTCCTCTTGCCCTCTCTGTCAGGTGAGGATTGGGGATACTATCGGAAGAGAACCCTTACCACAGGCTCGGAGTACAGGCAAGGACACAGAACACTGGCCTTGGCTCCAGAATAGGGGCCAGAGTGGAGGGATGAAGTAGCTCCCAGCCTGGGTCCCACAGAACTGGCAAGTGGGGGCATCTATAGAGTGTGGGCCCCAGAAGACAAGCCTTGGCATTTCGCCTTGACTCCCCATGTCCTTAAGTGGGGCTGGCAGGAAGAACTGTATGCCTTCCCCAATACTGTCTCCTAAGGGTTCCGAAAGACCAAGGATCCCACCAGCTACCCCCAACCCCAGGCTGCCAGCTCATCTTCTCCCTGGACAGAATCTACTCCAAGTTTGGGGGAATGGGCAGTCCTGCTTAGGACACGAAGCAGCAGATACTGCCAAAGTCCACAGTGGAAGAATTAACAGCCCCGCCCGGGGCATAAGGCAGTCAGTGCTCAGCTCAATCCCAGCTTCAGAGCCCATGGCCCTGGCTAGGTTGGTTCTTATTAGGGTTCCACTCTCATTTAAGGCCACCACAGACCCAAGCCAGCCTGAGCATGGCATGGGGACCAAGGTTGCCTGGGTTCTAGGTGTGGACAGGGCAGAGTAGGTGAGTCAGGGACCAGTGTATAGCTAATGGCCATTCCCTTATACTACTGGGTCCTAGGTAGGCCAGGTGGGGAGGAAAGCAGACTGTTCTAGTCCCCTTGGGGTAAACTTGATCCCTGATCCTTCTTAAGGCAGTTGTGGGTTTTCTTGGGTGCCCATGGGTTCCTTTAAAGTGCTTGGCGGGGGAGGGGAATTGGAGAAATGGCTCCGCAGTTAAGAGCACTGTTGACTGCTCTTCCAGAGGACCTGAGTTCAATTCCCAGCACCCACATGGCAGCTCACAGCTGTCTGTTACTCCAAGATCCAACAAGCTCACACAGACATACATGCCGGCAAAATACCAATGCGTATACAATAAAAATAAATAGAGTGCTCCTGGGTCTTTGGGTTGATTTGTGTCCCCTCGGGCCGATTCTAGACCCCTGTGTGGTCTTGTGACCCCTTAGATGTTGACCTGATTCTGTGTGGTGGGCCTGGGTCCCCTTCATGGTCAGTCAAGTTTTGTCCTCAGGACTGCTTACTGGACCCTCTTGACACCATCCTGGGACCCTATGCTCAGTCCTCTACCACACTCCAGGATGCTGGTCTGAGGAAAGCTAGACCAACTCTGCTGCCCACATCACAGTGGGAGGACACAGGCATCTTCCTGCCCCTGACCACCTGCCCTTTGCCTCCTTGGGACTGAGGGTGAAACTGAATCCTGGACTGTGACACCAGGGGCTATTTTGGAGCTGGGCTGGGCTGGGCTGACCAGAAACGGGGGTGGGGCAGGGGCGGGCCCAGCCTTCTTCAGCTGACAGCATTTGCCTGTCCTTTCGTCCCTGTCCAGTCTGAGGACCGGCTGGAGTGTGGGCTGCTGGGTGGGAACCACGTCGGCCTGGGCCCCAGGAAGGAGGCAAGACCCAGCAGCCCCTAACTCACCATCTGTGCCCCTTGCCTGGGCGCTGCCCCAACCCCTGGACGCTGCCCCCAGCCCAGGTACACACAGGTGAGGAGGCAGAGCTGCTTGGAGGGCCCACTCTTGCTCCTGGAGGTCAGATGGACTGAAGGTCACGGTGGTTTGTGGAACATGGGGATCTTAGGGGCTTGGTTAACCTGAGCCACTCCCTGAGATGACAGTGGGCTGAATGCCAGAGCTGGGTCCTTCTGTGACTCTGAGTTGAGACCTCAGAATGGGAAGGGACAATTTGCCCTCAGGGATTTGGGAGGGTTGAGGCTGATACTGTGCAACCACTGGCCCGGTTACCCCCAGTCTTCTTGCTGCCTGGGGGTCTGGTGGCCCTGCCCCCAGCTCTTCCGAGATGGATGCCCGCTGACAGCTGGGGCTATTTTGGGCCTGTTGGCTCAGTGGAGGGGACAGCCAGAGGGGCACTGACACCTGACTCCGGGAAAGAATTTCCCGGGGAGCGGGGGAAGCCACAGTCCCAGGGTCTAAGGTGAGGCTGAGCTCAGGGGCTGCCCTTGGATATCCGCTCTAGAAGGGCACAGGGGCCACAGGCCTGCTGGTTCTGTTCTCGGAGTGCTGGAGAGGAGGGAGAGGGTCAGCAAGGTGGAGTTCCAGGGAGGGATTAGCCTCTGCTTCTGGCCAGTGTCTGTTTGTCACCTCCCACTGGGTTCATCCGGAAAACTGGTCCACACTGCAAGAATCAAAGTAGCCAAGTTCTGTTAAAGTTGTGGAGGGTGGAGGATGTGGGTGGTGTGGCCAGTTGAATGAGCCAGTGGCAGGGGCTCCTGCAAACCCCCCTGGGCAGTAGTGGGGTCCACAGCACCTGCTGGGTTGGAGAAGTCCTCTAGGGGTTGAGGAAGAGCTGACTTCTGAGGAGGAAGAGGCTTCTTTGAGAGGATGGGGTGGTCACCTGGACAGTCCCCTGCTTAGCACACACGTCCAGAACCTCTAGCCCAAACCAGGTGAGAGAGGAGGGGCCTGTGTGGGATAGATTTCCTGAAGCTTCTGTCACAGTCTCGGTTTCCTCATCTGTAGGAAAGAAAAGAGAACAGACACCCAGTTCCAGGAGCCTCTCTCTGGCCTTAGACCTGCTTGTCAGGGGGGCTGAGTGGCTCTGAGGCTGTCATTCTGACCCCATGATAGTGGCCAGTGCCTTGGTGTGTGACTGACTGGTAACATAGTTGCAGAGGGAACCAGGTCTTGAGCAGACAGTGAGACCCAGGGGCACCATCTGTGGGGGGCTAGGAGAACTCCAATTACTCTCGCCTCTCCAGGGCCTGTGCAGCTGCTGAGGCTGGGCCCAGCTCCCCTGAAACATGTGTGTGCCAGGCTGCTTGCATATTCTGGTTTATGTGTTCCAGGCTGGGTCACCCCAGGCTATGTATAGGATGGTTGGTAGACTCATAAGATGCCCTGCCGTGCTCCCAGGAACCCACAGACTGAGTATGGAGGCCAGAAAGACCTCTGATACCAGGACCTTAATACTGATGGGAAGGCAGACCTTCTATGGAATAGACCTTCTATGGAATAGATGCCAGAAGGCGGTTCCAGGGTCTGCTCACAGACCCCAGTAGGTGCTGCCCGATGGCTATCCTAACCTTAAGAGATGAGGCCTGTCTGTGGGTGGGGGACAGAGGTGCTGACTGGACGGTGAGTCAGCAAACGGGCCAGTGCAGCTCCGTCCAGAGTCAGCCTCCTGAAGAGGATTAGGGGGATTAGCTACCTGAATCACAGGACTTGGAACTGGAGGGTCGGGGGGAATATAAACCCATCCACGGGCTGGCCCCATCGCAGGCAGCCCAGCAAGCTCTGGTAAAGCGGGGCAGATGCAGAGGCGGTGGTTAAGGTCTCTGCGCAGGGGTGCTCATGTCTGCCAGGGGTGGAGGAGGTGAGCCTGTTGAGCCAGCCCTGGTGCCCACTGTTCTTATATAAGACCCGGTGCAGGCAGAGTCTCATCCACTCACTGGATCAGAGGCTGGCTGGCAGGGGCTGAGCCTCGATCGGGCAGAGGTCAATGTTATCTGGGTGCCGATGATTCCTAGGAGGGCTGAGGCGTGCAATCTCATTCTTGCAGAGGGTCCAAGTTGGCAGGACTGTGCTAAGGACTGAGTAGTGTGACCTGGCCATCAGGCCCCAGGCTAAGTTAGGCCTAGCTGGGCCCCAGCTCTCGTAGAGAGAAGCTGTCCGTACTGACCCCAGACCATAGGGACCCTCTCGCTAGCCTTTGTAGCCATTGGCTGCACTTTCCCACACCCTGCTCTTACCTGGGGTCAGGCTTTCCCTGAAGACTGGAAGCATGAGGGCAGACAGGTGCTAGTGATTATAGGGCCACCTGCAGCCCAATGGGAGAGGGCACTTCCGGTAGGATGAGCTTCATTTCAGGAGAAGGTGAGGGTTCCTTTTCTTTCCTGCTGTTTGAAGAACATGTCCCCTTGGGAGTCAAGAGGACTTGCTGGTTTGGGTAGTGAGACTGGAGTAGGGGGTAGACTGGAAGTTCCTTAGGTAATTGAAGATGCTAGACTTCCAAGTTACAGAAAGGGGCTAATCGGAACTGCTGAATTTTGGAACTACTAGGCTGGTTTGGGAGTGGAGGAGAAAATGAGGCTTATTGAGGAAGTAGCCCACTGAGTTTTCCTGTTAACCCTGGATAAAGAAGAGGGCCGAATGTGGCCCAAGCGACTGGCTCATCTTAATAGCATCACGACCTTCATCTTTGCCCTTTGTAGACCCCCAGCCCTGCTGCTATCATGGACCACTCCTTCAGTGGAGCGCCCCGCTTCCTGACGCGGCCAAAGGCTTTTGTGGTATCTGTGGGCAAGGATGCCACGCTGAGCTGCCAGATCGTGGGTAACCCCACGCCACATGTGAGCTGGGAGAAGGACCGGCAGCCAGTGGAGGCAGGAGCACGCTTCCGCCTGGCCCAGGACGGGGATGTATACCGCCTCACCATCTTGGATCTGGCGCTCGGTGACAGTGGGCAGTATGTATGTCGAGCGAGGAACGCTATAGGGGAGGCCTTCGCCGCCGTAGGCCTGCGCGTAGACACGGAGGGCACGTGCGCTGAGCAGGCGCCCCACTTTCTGCTGCGGCCCACCTCCATTCGCGTGCGCGAGGGCGCAGATGCTACCTTCCGATGTCGCGTGGGCGGCTCACCACAACCTGCCGTGAGCTGGTCCAAAGATGGGCGGCGCCTGGGCGCACCCGATGCCCCCCATGTGCGCGTGGAAGATCACGGAGAGGCCAGCGCGCTTCGCATCCGGTCGGCGCGACCTCGCGACGGTGGCACCTATGAAGTCCGAGCAGAGAACCCGCTGGGTTCCGCCAGCGCTGCCGCCGCGCTCGTGGTGGACTCGGACGCCGAGGCTGCCGGACCACCCGGAGCCTCCACTGCCTCGCTCCTGGCGCATCTGCAGCAGCGGCGCGAGGCCATGCGCGCAGAGGGCGTCCCTCCCTCCCCACCCGGCGCCGGCACACGCACCTGCACGGTGACCGAAGGCAAACACGCGCGCCTCAGTTGCTTTGTGACCGGCGAGCCCAAGCCCGAGACAGTGTGGAAGAAGGACGGGCAGCTGGTGACGGAGGGCCGGCGACACGTGGTGTATGAGGATGAGCAAGAGAACTTCGTCCTTAAGATTCTTTTCTGCAAGCAGTCGGACCGCGGCCTCTACACCTGCACAGCCTCCAACCTCGTGGGCCAGACCTACAGCTCCGTGCTGGTGGTCGTGCGAGGTGAGCAAACTGGCCTTTCCACACATGCGCAGGGGTGAGGCTCTTTCCCGGACTCCCCACACCTCGTCCTTTTACCTGAGCACTAGCTACGGTCTCAGGTGATAACCTGGTCCAAAGATTGGCCAGGGACGGGTTGCTGCATTCCGAGTGGGAGGTCTGGGCGACTCTGGTTCCTCAAAATGAACAGGTGAGGGTGGTTCTTGGAATGAACCACCATAGGGAACCCAGTCACCATCCCTACATTCCTTCCTCCACACCCCTACCTCACACCTCACATATCCCCTGCCATTGTCTCTTCTGTGCTCCACTTTCTCCTTCTCTTACTCTCTACTCTATTTCTTCAACTTACCTATCCGACCTTGCACCCTCTACATTTTTGATCCCTTGGTCCGTTGTGTTACCCTCTTCCTCCCCCAATAACCCAGTCGGCCTCTCTCCCGCAGAGCCGGCGGTGCCCTTCAAGAAGCGACTGCAGGACCTGGAGGTGAGAGAGAAAGAGTCTGCCACATTCCAGTGTGAGGTGGCCTTGCCGGCCACCGAGGCGGCCTGGTTCAAGGAGGAGACGCGGCTGTGGGCCAGCGCCAAGTACCGCATCGAGGAGGAGGGCACCGAGCGCCGGCTCACCGTGCGCGACGTCTCCGCGGACGACGACGCGGTGTACATCTGCGAGACCACAGAGGGCAGCCGCACGGTGGCAGAGCTCTCGGTCCAAGGCAGGCGGGGCGGGACTGGGCGGCACTGGGCGGGGCCAGGCGGGCAAACGAGCTTGGGAGTGGAGGTGGCAGACTTGGTCGGAGGGGTACCGGTGGAGTCAATTGGGTGTGGGCAGAAAGGCAGGTGAATAGGGCTAAGGTGAGAGGGATAGGGCAGAGGGACCAGGTTGAGAGAAAGGCAAGGGGAGGGGCAGAGGGGGTCTGGGATGTGGATTGGGGGTGGGGTCGGATAGAGTGTGATGGGTCAAGTTGAGGAAGAGGGTACAGAATGTGGAACAGACGGAGAAGAGCGAGCAAGTGCACAAGAGGTGAGTCAGTAGGTGGGGAAGTTCTAGGGCATAGAGGTGTACAGTGATCTGGGACTGGGGACAGATGAAGCTGGCAGCGGTTAGAGGGAGGTTAGGGTTAGGATTAAGTCTGGTTCTGGAAAGACAAGGGAGCAGAAGGTAGGATTGGGCAGAAGGGGTGTGTGTGTGTGTGTGTGTGTGTGTGTGTGTGTGTGTGTGGTGAAGCAGGTGGGAGGATGGGGCAGGATGGGAAGAGAGATGAGATGGAAGCCACACGATTAGGGTGTGTGCAAAAGGAGTGTGGGATACACAGGGAAGGGGCTAGTCTTACCATCTTGGCAATCTTCCCACTCTAGGGAACTTGACCAGAAAGCTGCCTCGAAAGACTGTAGTGCGCACTGGAGACACAGCCATCTTCTGGGTGGAGCTAGATGTCCCCGAGGGTCCTGTCCGGTGGCTAAGGAACCAGGAGGAGATGGTGGCAGGGGGCCGGGTAGCCATCACCGCAGAAGGCACGTGCCACACACTGACCATCTTCCAGTGCACCTTGGAGGATATGGGTGAGGTGGCCTTTGTGGCCGGTGGCTGCCGAACGACCACCCAGTTCTGCGTATCAGGTAAGGGTTGGAAGAATGGTCTTTGGGTGGCCCTCCTGCCCCATCCTCCCTCAGTGCTGCGGGCGCCCCTTGCCAGTGGAAGTCCGAGGGTGCAGAAAATTGTGATGGTGGGTCCCCCATTCTAAGCTCTTTTCTTGAGGCAGGGCTTTCCCACTGCAACTGTGTGGCAGCAGGTCTGGAGAGGGTCTTCTGAGCCCACTGGTGGTGGGTGGTACCATCGCTTCCACCAGGGCAGTGCCAGGGAAAGACTCAAGTTCTGACATTCCCTTTCTGGGTGACCCGAGGCGGGGGGGGGGCAGGAGGGAGTTCTATGTTGGTGAGCTCAACCTGTCTTTCACACAGCGCCCAGGAGGCCTCCCCTGTACCCCCCTGCTGATCCTGTGGTAAAGGCCAAGACAGAGAGTTCTGTGACCCTCAGCTGGTCCCCACCACCCCGTGGGGAGCGCCCTGTCACCATCGATGGTTATGTGGTGGAGAAAAGGAAGCTTGGTGCTTTTGCATGGAGCCGGTGTCATGAAGCAGAATGGCTGGTCACAACTGAGTTTACCGTCGCTGGTGTGGCAGAGGAGGGGGACTTCCAGTTCCGTGTGTCAGCCGTCAATCACTTTGGTCAGAGTCCTTACCTTGAGTTTCCAGGGACGATCCACTTGGGTGAGTGAGACCATCTAGTAGCATCACAGGGGGCTGCCACCTGCCCTGCCCTTGAGTTACCCGACCCCAAAGCGTGACTCTTGCTCCAGGGGAGGCAGGATGATAATCTTAAGGGGACTCTCTAGGCGGGTTGGGGGATGTTGAAGCCTCCTCATACAGGAGGGGGTATCCGAAGACAGGACCCAGCAGCCACAGGGAGCCAGGCTTCAGCTACTCCATCTATGTGGGGGCAGGGCAGAGGAGGGAGAGCCAGAACCTGTCTCCAACTCTTACCATGTTTCTACCCACCCTACAGTCCCCAGGCTGGCAGTAAAGACACCTCTGAAGGCGGTGGAGGCAGTGGAGGGAGGTGAGGTCACCTTCTCTGTGGACCTCACGGTGGCCTCCGAGGGGGAGTGGTTCCTGGATGGGGAGCCCTTGAAAGCCAGCAGTGTCTACGTGATCCGCTGTGACCGTACCCGGCATACGCTCACCATCAGAGAGGTGCCCGCCAGATTGCATGGGGCACAGCTGAAGTTTGTGGCTGATGGCATTGAAACCAGCATCCAGATGGTGGTCCGAGGTAGGCCCGAGTCCCTGAGTCCCGTTTTCCCTGCAGTGTGATAGTAGGCAGGAGAGGTAGTCTCTTGGAGATTTGTCTGAGGGCGATGCAATGAAAGGGGTAGGACAGTTGGGTGCTTGAGGCTGCTCACTGGCAGTTGAGGCTGGTGTGTGTGTGTGTGTGTGTGCGCGCGCGCGTGCACGCACACGCGTACGGGATGCCCCAGGACTGGACGGCATCTCTGACTGCCTCTTTTCTCATTCTCTCGTCTATCTATCCCTATGTTTCCTCTCTGCCTGCCTGTTTCCTTCTCCCTCTGTCTCACTCCCCCTACATCTGGCTTTCCGCATGGTCCCTCTCTCTGCTCCCTTCTTCCTCCTCTTCATACCCTTCCTCTCTTGCCTTTCACTAACTTGCTTTCCTTTCAATCCACCCTTTTCCCTGAGTTTCTCTTTTCCCTTTAATCTCTCTATCTCTATCCTCTCCCCTCTCCCTCACTGCCTGTGACTCCTTTTGCCCGCTCTCTTGTGGTCTTTTCGTTCCCATCCCTGATCTGTAGCAGCTCTGGGGCTAGCCAGCAAGCTTTCTGCTGTGGCTGCCCGGGAGGTGCTGGCCCGGTTGCACGAGGAGGCACAGCTGCTGGCTGAGCTCTCGGATCAGGCTGCGGCTGTGACATGGCTGAAGGATGGCCGTGAGCTGTCCCTAGGACCCAAGTACGAGATGCAGGCGTCAGCTGGGAGGCGAGCCCTGCTGGTGCGGGATGTGGTGCAGGATGATGCGGGCCTCTATGAGTGTGTTAGTCGTGGGAGCCGCATTGCCTACCAGCTGTTGGTGCAAGGTAAACACAGGTTTGCAGTGGGGCTGGCATCATGTCCTGGGGCTGCACTGTCTTTCTGGATGTGTAGACTCTGTTCCCTAGCTCCAGGCATGCTCTGAGGGGTTCTAGGCAGTGAGTAACTGTGTGTGTGCGTGCGGCGTGCGTGCGTGTGTGTGTTAATGGTGGTGGATAGCTCAGCTCTGTAGGGAGAAGGCTTTCCTAGCTGGGGTTGGAACCTCTCTGGTATGGGTGAGAGTCAGAGTCACGTGTAGTCTAAATCTGGCCATCTGCATCCATACCCTGTAGGCCTCATAGCTTTTTATTCACTGACATAGCAGGTGACTGTGGATGCTGTGGTTGGGAGCCAAACTGGACCTCAGAGGCACATGTATAAGAGTACTGGGGCAAAGACAGCAAGATGCTTGGGTCCTTCTTGCCAGTGCTTCTTGCAGTAGGACATGGGGATATGGCATTGGCTGAGGGCAGCTTTGGACACCAGGCAGGGCAAGGGTATCTCCTCCTGTTCCCTGCATGAAGATGCTGTAGACTTACAGCCCTGGCATAGGTGCATACCACCCTTGAGAGGTCTGGGGTTCCCCACACTGGACCACTGGTGGGGTCCATGTATGTCTCCACAGCTAAAATCTCTTTGCTGCCTCCCAGAGAGATGTGTTCCTCACATGGGCTCTAAAAACCTACACATGCATAAATTCTGTGCAACAGAATTCTTAGTAATATATATATGACTTTTTAAACTTGACTGTTTCCAACAGTAAAAATCATGGTGCAGTCAGTTTCCAGGTGGTGGAGAAAACTGGGGATGTGTTTATGAATGGGACCTTCCTCTGCTCTGTGGAAAGTGTTTGGGCAAGTTAGGGAATAGAACACGGTCTTGACCTGGAAGGGCTGGCCTGGGGATTTCCTATCGCCATGCTCTGCCAATCGGAGCTGGCATCACACACTGACTGGACACTGCACACTCACTGCCAGCAAGGGGCTTTGGGAGTTTCCTGGATTCCAGAGTTTATTAACCAGAATCCAGGACTTAGGGGCTTGGAAGAAACCACTGAACAAGTGTCTTTGTGTGCCTGTTCCCAGAGCCCAAGGTGGCGTTTGCCAAGGAGCAGCAGACACGCAGCGAGGTGAAGGCAGAGGCAGGGGCCAGTGCCACCCTGAGCTGCACGGTGGCCCAGGCCCAGACTGAGGTGACCTGGTTCAAGGACGGGAAGAAGCTGAGCTCCGGCTCGAAGGTTCGAGTGGAGGCCTCGGGCTGCGAGAGGAGGCTGGTGGTGCAGCAGGCGGGCAAGGCGGATGCTGGGGAGTACAGCTGCGAGGCCGGGGGACAGAAGGTCTCCTTCCGTCTGGACGTCACAGGTGGGTGCCAGGGTTGTGCTCAATGGGGTTATCCTAGGACATATCGGCTATCTTGGGCCGGTGTTCTCCCTGTCCTTAGACCTCAGTGTTTGTTTGTCCCAGGGTTCTGGGAGCCCTTGTTGACCATGTCATAATTCCCATGAGACCATGAATGTGTGTCTAAACCTCTCCACCCTGTCCTTGAGTCTGGGAAAAGGCCACATACCGTAGCCACTATTTCCTGCTTGACTCCATGCATTTTGCTGTTTTGCCCTTCCTCTCAGCTGTGGTCCAGAAAGATGTGGGTTTCTGGCTTGGGACTGAGGTGGCCGTTCCTTCCAACTGGGCCTCCTCCTGCTGTTTGTGGTCTCTGAATGTAAGAGGGCTGAGAAGCCATGGATGGCCTGAAGTTTCTGGTGGTTCCAAGGCAGGGAAGAGTCAGAGTTCTGTCCTCTACTGTCAGGATAGGCATTGTTAAGGGACACTAGCAGTGATGACCTTAAGGGCTGCAGTAGCTCACCTGCCAGTAAGCATCAGAGTGGGCCTGCAGCTTCTCAGGGCAGTGACAAGACCCTGCATACCCAGATCTTCCACACATGAAGCTTCAGCAATGCAGCTTGGGTCCCATGTGACACAGAACCTTGTTTGATCACATGATGATCTGTCAATTATGGGAAGTGTTGCCCTAGCCATGCTTGGGCTCTGATGAGCCCCAGGCCCTGAAGAAGGGTTATGTATAGTTTGGTGTCTCTGACCCTGTGCATCCCTATCTGCTCCCAGAGCCCAAGGTGGTGTTTGCCAAGGGGCAGCAGGCTCACAGCGAGGTGAAGGCAGAGGCAGGGGCCAGTGCCACTCTGAGCTGCACGGTGGCCCAGGCCCAGACTGAGGTGACCTGGTTCAAGGACGGGAAGAAGCTGAGCTCTGGCTCCAAGGTTCGAGTGGAGGCCTCAGGCTGCGAGAGGAGGCTGGTGGTGCAGCAGGTGGGCCAGGCAGATGCTGGGGAGTACAGCTGTGAGGCTGGGGGACAGAAGGTCTCCTTCCGTCTGGACGTCACAGGTCAGTCCTCTGAGACAATCCACATGTGTATTCATAATTATTATATATTCTTTATTTTTTTGAAAGTGTCTCACTATGCAATCTTGCCTGGAACTTGCTACGTAGAACAGGCTATCCTCAAACTCACAGGAGTCTGCTTTTCTCTACCTCCCAAATGTAAGATTGTAAATGTGCGCAAGTATACCTGGCTTAGTGTACTTGTAGTGAGTTTCTTACCAAGCCTAATTTGTTGACTAAACTTTCTCAGGAAAAACATACACAGTATTTGGTGCTATCTGCATCTGAGGCACCTACTGCAGGTCTTGGACTATATTCTGGATGGATGAGGGAGTGTGATTTTCCCTGTGTTTAGAGGCCTTGGGGTTTGTCCTGAGCACAGAGAGTGCAGGGTCTGGATGACATTCTGCTGTCCTGCTGACCCACCCAGGGTCTTTCCCACTGTGACCTTGCTGATCTAGATAGTGCTCTGACTTTGTGTCCCCATTTGTCCCTATTATTAATGCTTTCTCGTGTTCTAGTGTGTTTTTAATTTTATTATTTATTTTATTGAGTTTTCCATTGCTATCGCTTACATTTTTTTCATGATCTCGATGTCCTTTCTCAGTTTCTCAGGCTTGCTGCTGGCCGTCTCTTCTGTGTTACTGACTTCCTTATTTACACCCTGGGCCGATTTTGTTCCTTCATCTGTGTGCTCGTTTGTTTCGTACTTGGAATCATTAGCTATTTTTACATGTAGATTTTAAATTTACTGTAACAGGTAGCCAATAGTTTATTAAATATCAACTTGTACAGAATAATAAAGCTTTTCTACAAAAAAGGAAAAGAAAAAGGAAACAAAAAAGCAATGATGGCATGGTGCCCAGAGTATTGAGGGAAATAACTGTCAGCTGCAGATTCCATGGCCTGCTAAGTTGTCATTCAGGAGTGAAGGCTAAATAGCACATGTTCAAGAAGTATCTTTAGAGAGTTTACCATTCACAAAAAGTTACTGAAAGAATTGTCAATGGATATACTGCTCAGAGTAAAAAACCTTAATCAAAAACTAACAGAATAGGATCCTTGAGTCACCAGAGTTTGGGAACCAAGGTAGATTTTTATTTAGTTATAGCAACTGTGTGTCCCTGTTTTTCCTCCAGAGCCCAAGGTGGTGTTTGCCAAGGAGCAGCAGACACGCAGCGAGGTGAAGGCAGAGGCAGGGGCCAGTACCACACTGAGCTGCATGGTGGCCCAGGCCCAGACTGAGGTGACCTGGTTCAAGGACGGGAAGAAGCTGAGCTCCAGCTCCAAGGTTCGAGTGGAGGCCTCGGGCTGCGAGAGGAGGCTGGTGGTGCAGCAGGCGGGCAAGGCGGATGCTGGGGAGTACAGCTGCGAGGCCGGGGGACAGAAGGTCTCCTTCCGTCTGGACGTCACAGGTCAGTGGGTTAGAAATTTGACTATGTCATGGGACAACCCTAGGGGAAGCATTCCAGTGTGGGCCAGGTGCTGGGTGTGTTGCACAGGCTGCACAAGGGTGTGTATTGGATAGTTCTCCACAAGTAATTAGTAACCCCAAGTTCAGAGGAGTGAACAATGAGTATGCTTTTGTCTCTAGTTCATGGGGTAGAATACACCATGCGGTCTGTGCTGATGGCTCATTTCTGTCCAGTGTGGTATCACTGGGGCTGGGAATCCAAGCTGTGTGTGTGCTTGCATCTGACGTCCTCACTGAGATGGCCCTGAAGGAAGGGACTGTATGGGACAAGAGGTCTCTTCTTTAGCAATGGAGCTGACCTCAGTGCTGTTTTGGAAGTCCTTTGTCTCCCTTTGTGGTCTCTCTTGCTTGGCAATAGCTTGTCCCTAGAGCGGTGATCTCCATGTGGGCCATCTGGGCCTCTTTTTGAGGTGGCCAGGTTTCCCTCAGGGTGCAGAATCGCTTGAAACTCTGCTCCTGGAGACCAGAGTGTTACTCTGCTTGTTCTCTTGTCAAAGCTAAGAAAAAAGCCCGCCTGGTCCCCAGAGCATGGAGAAGGAGACCTTTCTGTGGGCACCAGGGTGGCGTGTCCCATTGCACAGGGGTCTGGTCACAGCGGGACTGAACCCTGGGTCACCCTGTCTGACCTTTTATCACAGAGTCACAGGCTTCCATTCTGTGCCATCCTCTTTCAAATTCTTTCTGCCTCATGGTCACACAGGACTCCGACCGAAACCTTCAACTTTCAAAAGAGGAAGGATATGGAAGGATTAGTGCTCTCTCCCTGAGTGTATGTGTGTGTGCGTGCGCATGCTAAATTAGTTTTTTTTCTTTGGCTTTGGGGTCCTAGCCCAAAATTTATTATCTATATCAATACACTGACGGAGGTGTGTTCCCCACGCTCCCTTCTAGTTGTCTCACGGTGTCTGGTTTTATGTTCAGGTCTTTGATACATTTGAGTTCATGCTTGAATAGGGAGAGAGGTAGGACCTTGCTTAACTGGCCACTGTCAACTTTTTTCTGTTTTTGCCGAGTGGGGAAGGGGTCAGAATCTTACTATACAGTCTTAGCTGGCCTGGAACTTGATACATAGGGCAGGCTAGCCTCAAACTTCTGAAATGTGTCCACTTCTGCCTCCAAAGTGCTGTGATTCAAGGCATGTGCCAGTATGCCTGGCAAATCACTGTAAACAAAAAAGATGCTCGCATGTCTCTATACCTACCATATGTGTGCAGTACCCGAGGAGAAACAAATAGGGCGGTAGACTCCTGGCGCTGGAGTTACAGGTAGCTGTGAGCTGTCGTGTGTGCTGGGAATGGAACTCCAGTCCTCTGAAGGAGCTGTGCGTGCTCGTAACTGCTGAGCTGTGTCTCTAGCCCCGGGTGAACTGTGACGGTACAGTAAGTTTTAAAACTGGAAATGGAATTCCACTAATTTTGTTTTCTTTTTCTTTTAAAATTGGTTTGTTTATTTTCTTAAAAATTTATGATTTTCTATGTATGGGTGTTTTGCCTGAATATGTGTGTGTGTGAACCACATGTGTGCCTGGTGCCCATGAAGACCAGAATAGGTCATCAGATCCCTGGAACTGTAGTTATGAATCCTTGTGAGCTGCAGTGTGGTGCTGAGAATAGAACCCAGGCCTTTTGGAAGAGCAGCCAGTGCTTAACCACTAAGCCACCTCTTCAGCTCCTCTTTCTTTTAAAATATTTATTTATTTAGTTATTTATTTATTATGTATACAATATTCTGTCTGTGTGTATATCTACAGGCCAGAAGAGGGCACCAGACCTCATTACAGATGGTTGTGAGACATCATGTGGTTGCTGGGAATTGAACTCAGGACCTTTGGAAGAGCAGGCAATGCTCTTAACCACTGAGCCATCTCTCCAGCCCTCCTCTTTCTTTTAAAAAAGATTATCTTGGTCATCCAAGTTACTCTGAATTTCTGTTAACTTTAATGTCCCTTCTCAGATTTTACCAAGTAAGGATGCATAGTTTACATGGCCACACAGATCAACTTCAGGAGTACTGCCTTTTTAAGATTAGGACTTCAGAGCTAGCTCTGTAGGCCAAATGCTGGTATTAAAGGTGTGTGCCACCATCACTTGGCACATGTATACATCTTGATCTTACCCACCCTACTCTCTCCCTCCAGCTCCTCCTGGCCCCCATCCAACAGCTCTCCCATGTCCTCCTTTCTTTCTTCTACTAAGTTCAGTCAGTGCTGCCCATATGGGCATGTGCACGACCATCCAGTGGGCATGGGCATCCACCAGTGGGAACATTCCAAAGGAAAATGGCTCGTAAGCTCCCAGGAGCCACCGGATGCTGTTAGCCCCTCCGCTGATGCTCAGGTGGAGGACTGATTTCTGCGTATTCATCTTATGCCCGGAACTGTGCTGAACCTGGAAGCTAAGTTCTAAGGATTTCCAGGCACAAGGCTGTCATGTCTGTAGATAGAGTGGATTGCGCACCTTATTTTTGATCTGAATGCTCTGAGCTTAGATTACTGATTCAGTCCTTTGCTGATTCTCTGGGTTTTCTGTCCTTTTCTTCTTCTCTTGGGTCAGTTTCGGTAGTGCTTCCTAGGAAGCTGTTTGTTTCATCTAGGTTATCTTTTTGTTTTTATGTTTCCTTCCTTCCTTCCTTCCTTCCTTCCTTCCTTCCTTCCTTCCTTC